CTGCAATCAGGATTAGTTGGCGAATGCCACTCTTGTATGACAGTTTTTCTGCTATTTCCTTACCTTTCTACTTTAAATGAGCGTAAAATTTATAGTGTTTATTCCGGAAGATGTGGCTTATGAAACATCCAATTGGTAATTTTTCTCCTAATGCTTTCTACAGACCCCAGTCACCGGTGGTCGCGGGGCCGATGCGACGGCTAGATCAGCACGACAGAGTGCCCAAGTTTCTGAATCCTGCCGTCCAGTGCTCCTCAGCCAGGCCGTGAGCTATGAGGCGTCTGAGGGTGAGTAGTGGTTCTCTCCTTGTTAACTGTTGTTATCAGCTGTCACGCGGTTTAGGTCCTTCATTGAACCAGCAGAAACAGCAAAAAAGATTGGGTATATCTGTTTTAACTGAATACTACGTGATTATTTATCTTAATGTTAGCACAGGCACAATTTACCAGCCCAAACACACGCATATTTCGCCGATATTCTGCCACCGTGTGGCACAGTTGCGAGGGGTTTTGCTCATCGGTGGGTGCCACAGCATCCCTATATGTTTTTTTAAATTGTGCTTTCAAAATCGTACCTTTTCGATTTCCGCAGAAACAACTGGAAAACTTGAAGTAGATCAGCACCCCCGTAGACGTTATGCAAAATAAGCTCAAGTTTACAAAAGTCAGAATTCCGGGATTAGAATCATAGACCATATCGTGCTCATCGGAATGAGTTTTTTGTTCTTTGACATTTCGGACAGCTGGGCCGGCTGTCCTGGTGCGCCAATGTTCAATTGGATTACTGCAAACCACACTGTTCAGAAAAGCCACCAGCACGAAGCAAATACTACACTTCAACAGAAATCACCCTCTGCCTCACAAGCATTGCTGCGTTCATACTTTTTTCCAAAGAGTTGAAACATATTGCAATAAACCAGCTGACAAAGGAGTGGAACAACAATACCTTCGTGACCTTTTTCGGGTTAATGGATACCCTTATTCTTTTATCAATCAAAGAACGTGTCGAGTGAATAGAAGACGGGCAACAGGACAGCAAACCGAAGTCTGGAGGGTCATTCCCTACATAAAAGGAGTCTCTGAAGCAGTATCTCGACTGTTACAACCCACTGGAGTAGGCATAGCCCATCGACCCCAGGCGACAATACGCCGCCGAGTGATGCAACCTAAAGACAGACTGCCCCCTACTGAAACCTTCGTAGTTGTCTACAAATTACTTTGCGACGATGGAGACTGCAATTACGTTGGACAAAACAGGGCACGAATTGCAAACCCGCCTACACGAACACAAAGCGGCGGCCCGAAGACAAGACCCAAACTCGCAGCTTGCAACACATATCGGAGAGACTGGTTACAACTTCGATATTCAAGGAGCGACCACCGTAGGCCGTGGAACCTGAAAAGCGGGGAGACTGACATATGAGGCGTGGTACTTAGACACCAACTCCGTCAACGGGCATCTGGACCTTCCCGCGGCCTACAAAGTCCTACGCGATTACGTGAGTAAAGGACAGGACAAGCTCAAACCGAACTTGGGATTTGCAAACGAAACCACCTGAAGAGGCAACAAGATTACCAGCATCCTCTACCGTGGGGACGAAACACAACGCTAACTGCCGTCAAGTTATGTCAAAATCCACGCAAAGGGCCAAGCAGCGGACGGAAAAGATCGATCAGCCCATGGCCAACACGTACAGCTACTAC